ACTTCCAAACCAGATTACATCTCCACCCAGCTGATAACTCATTGATCCTTCTACCAATTCATCCATCCAGCCCTCCATTCCTTCTTTAGCTTCTTTCATTAACTCATCTGTCAAACCATATAGCCATTATTAAATCTGTCCATCACGTCTGTCTCCTTGAACCCCAGTCGTCCTCGGCAGATGGCCGCTCTCACTGAGTTTGGTTCTGCAGTTTTCTTCCTGTTCAAAGGGAGTTTTTCCTCTCCACTGTCACTACAAGCATGCTTAGTGTGAGGGATTGCATTCCAGTCAATGAGTCGATGCAATCAGCAGATTTTCCTTAGATAGAAAACTTTGAATCAATCTGACTGGATGATCTGGTGAAATGGAAAGTGACCTGAGATGACGTGTTGTGAATTGGCGCTATAGAAATAAGTTGAACTGAATCCATTATATCTTCTTCTGTGGTTTTTGCTGATTCTTGATCTGAAGTCAAACATTTAGGATAAATTGTTTCCTTTGTTGGAATAGATTTTTAGTATTTATACCTAGATTTGTAGGTAGTATATGGCAGTATAAAGTGGAGCTTATACATTTTAGCTGGATTAGGGGGTTTGTTGTGCTTGCAGCTCTGTGTGACCAGCAGCACACAGTTTGGTTGGACTCAGAGCGCAGTTCCTCTTTAACCTGAGCTGAGCTCTAACCAGCCAGAAGGAGTGAAAACAACCGTGTGTGTGTCGGGGTGTGTGTGTTTGTGTGTGTGGCCATCTGTCAGGTAGAAGTTCACCTTTATAGAAGCAAACGGTGTTTGTTGCTAGGAGATCTTAAGCCCAGCTCACACGTATGTAGAACATGCGCATGCAGACATCAAACACACGCAGAGACACACAAACGCCACCTAACATTTTCCAAAACAGGGAAAACGGAGCAAAAGGCGGAGGAAGACATGGCCCCATCTGAACCCTCAGTGATTCACACTTTCTAGCACTTTGTCTGGTTTCTTCACTGCTTGGACTCAGAAATACGGTCAGCTCCTCTACAGCAGGAGATCTATCCTGATACATTAAAGCCTTTTGCTGATGGACTGTTGTGGAAAAGCTCCTTTCTGGATGAATGCTCCTAAAGGCTGGTTTAACCTGCTCTGTGCTCCTCACTGGATGTTTCTACAGCACACATTTCTAATTGGTTGCTTTCCTGCCAACCCTTCTCAGAAACAAAGGGTTGATAATAAATTCAGCTGAAGTAGAGCTCACCTTTAGGATTTTAAAACCTGTTATAAAAGAATGACTGTCCCAGTTTTCTATAACACAAAATCCTCATTGGAGATCAGAAAATGCACATTTCTCTGATTTGGATATGACTAAATACCAGCAGCTTGGATCAATGAAAAGACGTTTCTTTAGCGAATATCTTTTTTTTAAGCCTATGTTGTTTCAGAACTAGGGGTGTAAATCACACCTATCATGGCGATTCGATTCAGTATCTATTTCATGACCCAACGATTCGATTATTTTCGATACTCAAGAATACACCACGATACAATTCGATTAATCGATTAAGTCTTTTTTTTTCAAGTTTCAAGTTTGAAATAAATCTATGAAAGCTGTAATATTGTTATGCATTTTATTTTTTATTTTAGAAACAACAGCAAATAACAGAAGTAGAAAAGTTGCATCAAAAAATACTGCAAAAATACTGCACAGAATCAGTGCAATGCAATACCTCGGCTTCAGACGTGCCGCCCCCTCCACAGACGCTCCGCTGCACCTCTCCCAAATTGTAGCTGACCGCAGACAGTGCTGCAGACAGGAGGCTGCCTTGTTTTGTTTTTATGACCGAAATTGCGGAAAACAACTAATGAAGTTTGACGTGCTAGAAGAGCGAAGTGCGCAAGAACGCTGGGTTCCTTTACCCACCTGGATCTCCGCTCTTTTTGGCCCTCATGTCCCTCCGTCGCCGGACTAAACTCGCCCCCCACTTCCTCTCCTCCTCGGCCGTATCTAGATCCACAGCGTGTAGCTCAGACCACGCTTCAATATTGAGCATAATTCAAAAATGTCTGCATCAAGCTCACTGCAACACACTACTGTAAGGGTATAACCAGGAAGCGAGGTAGGAGGGCAAAATAGTTTTAGCGCCACCGCAGCACGGGAGGAGAATTACGCCCAGGAGCAAATGGATAAAAATAGACCAGAGGAAAAAAAACAAAAAAACATGAATGGATTCTCTTGCGGACGTATCGATGCATCAGATCGTCGGTTGTTGGATCGATGCATCGATATAAAACGATTATTATTTACACCCCTATTCAGAACTGAGAGTAAAATGAACCATAACCTCTAGAATATCGTCAGCAGCAAGTCAAAAAGCCATATGGATTGTTTAGCTCATAAATCTTTCATTTTTATCTTTGCTGATGGATGCAGCGTCACTGGGAGACGGCTCTACTGTACGTTGCTCTGATTTATTTATTTTGTATCAGGTCCTGTTTTTATTTCCAAAATAGGAAATTATACATTTATCTAAATGTGAATCCTCCTCTTTTCTTTGATGGGGTCTTAAAAAGAAACTGGAAATATTTCAACATTTTTTATTTTATTTAGTTAATATTTGCCTTTCAGTTCTTTAAGGTTTTCTAAAACAGACGCAGGCGTTCGATGGGTTCCTGATAAGAGTTTAACTCCGTCTGGACATGCAGGGGAATATTTGGCAGCATTTGTTGGATATTAGAGGTGGAAGCGTTTCCTCCTGACAGCTCAGAGATAAAGTGACTGCAGCCTCCTGTTTACGCCGCTGCCATGAGGCTGATTCAGGGCTCTACAGCTTGTGAGCAGTGCTTTAGCCTCATTCTCCAGAGCCTGTGGTAAACATTAACACGGGTTACAGAGGTCACTCCAAGCACTTGTTGGTCCTCAGCTCTTTGGTGTGTGCCGTTCTGTTTGAGAACCCGCCATGACCCCCCCCCCCACCCTTCGTTTCTTTTCTTTGTTTTTCAAGATTGATTGGTTTGATACACACATGGGTGAAGTTATCTTTAAGGCTTATATTTCTAGGCATGAAAAGCTAGAGGCAGATCTTGTATCGATCTGGTAGAAAACAAGAGTTTCCAACACAAAGATGAGTCTGAATCGTATAATCCAATCGTCATCATGACAGGAAGCCTGACTGGTCACGTTTTAATCAACATTGAGCCTTACAGATGGTTGGTCACTCTCCTTCAGATTTTGGTCGTTTCCAGCTTCTGTAGTAGCAGTCATTCCAAATGGCCCTTCCCAGTCAAACTGCGAATGGCAGCCCACTTCCCTCCAACTCTTTGCGAAATCGCCTCCAACTTCCAGCCACTGGAGTGACCCCCTCTTGCATATTTTTTTGCTCTGACTCCCTTTCACTGAATTACAGGGTCTGACCAGGAGATGACTCTTCTCTTTAGATCTGAATGTCTACAAATCATGACACAAATAATATGGTGTCATAAAAGTAATTTCCTTCTGGGATTATTAAAGTTGTGTGATTCTAATTTTAGTACAAATATTGTTGTTTTAAAAGGAATTGTAGGGGACCAGCCAAGTTTCCATCAAAGAAAGTGGGGAAATTTTGAATGGCTACTACTGTACTTCCGGTCAGCGACTGCAAAACAAAACTGGGAATAAAAAATTAGAATTTTTCAGAGAGATTTGAAAGGTTATAGCCAGTTCCGATTGGTTGTGTGTTCATTGCCACTTCTTAACTTCTGAAACTTTTTTTTTTTGTTTGTTTGTTTATTTGATAGGGACAGTGGGTATGTTTCATGAATCATGTCACACACTACAACTTTTTAGCTAAGGCCAATTCTCAATGCCTGTTCCCAGTTAGGCTTTTACAGAAAACACAGAGACTGTACACAAGAAACAACAGAACAAATTACACACTAAAACATAACAGAAACAAGATCAGGTACTTTAGATTATTAATGTTCACATGTCTGTCCTCTCAATAAAAAGTCTTTAAGTTTATGTTTAAAAAGGACCCAGTTTGACTCTCCTTCAGTTCTGCAGGTAATGTATTCCATGTTCTGGTGCCTTGTACAGTGAAAGCTGATTGACCGAAAGAGGTTTTGCATCCGGGTACTTGACAGTTTCCACTGTGAGCTCCTCTTGTGACTGAGCCCACAGCTCTGAGATGAACTACACAGTCATTCAAAACCTTAGGGGCCTTATCATGCAAGCATTTGTAAACCAGTTTTAACAGAACAAATTCTGTTCAAGTTCTCGAAATGTAGCATTTTTAAATTGTTCAGTATAACACAGTGATGGGATCTGATTGTTTTTTTTTATCTAAGATTTTATAGCTCTATTGTATATCATCTGAAGAGGCTTGATAGTGCTTGTGGCTTGTGACCAAGAACTAATGCAGTAACTTATATGGGAAAAGATCATGGAGTACACAAAACTGTGAGCAGCGTGAAACGCTAGGGAATCTCTAATCAGTTTGAATGTGTATAAGTTTGCTTTTGTTACTCTGGACACTTTTTTTGCGTGGCTGTCAAATTTCAATTGTGAGTCAAGTATTAATCCTAGATACTTGATTTCTGAGACCTGCTGGATTCTAGCTCCATTTATCTGTAAATTTAGTTATTGAGATACAGGTATGGGCTTGGTCCTTTTTCTATTCAGTGTGAGTGGAGATAAATATAATCGGGGGCGTCTTGGTCATTAATGAAAGTATTTTCCTCTCTGACCAATTCGGCTCACTGCCACCATGCTGTAAATTAGAGATAAAGTCGTGTAAAGAAGTCGCTGACGCTTTGCTCGGTGTATAAAGTCAAACCAGCTCTGTATCCTCATGGTGCTTTGGTCCTTTCATCCATGCTGCTGCTGTTCATCTTCAGCGGGGGGGTGGAGATCAGGACGTGGGGTAGAAAGCAGCTAAAATGTAGAAACGATGTATACGCCTGGAAGGCAAACATGGCTGTAGTGGGCTATCTGCACCGATTGGACATCTTTGCTCCACTAGTTGTGATGTCATATTCTCTCTGCTTGCAGCTCTCTGGGGGATGCGAGCTGACGGTGGTCCTCCAGGACTTCACCGCAGGATGCAGCACAGAGCTGTCCATCAGCACAGGTGAGGCCGAGCCGCACATTCCTCCTGGAGATCCAGGTGGGATTTCTACAGATTGAGCTAACATCTGTCTCATCTTATCTCCAGGTCAGACCGTGGAGCTGTTGGAGCGGCCCACGGAGCGGCCCGGCTGGTGTCTGGTCCGGACCACCGACCGCAGCCCCCCTCAGGAGGGGCTGGTTCCCAGCTCGGCTCTCTGTGTGTCTCACTCGCGATCCAGTGTGGAGATGGACTGCTTCTTCAGCTCAGGGAAAGGTAGGACGAGCCGTCTGCTCCATGAACACTCGCGGTGAAACGTGCAACTCTCTCTGCTGACTGACTGCTGTGATGCAATGAGTGGAGCGTTGGATGTTACCTGCTGTGATCTGATTGGCTGCAGCTGAAACCGCTGGGCTGTGACCTGCAGCATGTAGAAGAAACAAAACTATAGAAAATAAATAATGTATGGATTATTGGTTCATCTTATTATTTCTATTTTTAAACATTTATTAAGAAGAAATATTTAGCATAAGCAAAGTTCCCTGCTTCTGCTTCTCTGGTCAGAGAGCAGAAATGGATTTATAGGCTTCATATTTTTGGATTGTTTACTGTAGAAGGTTTCAGAAGCTGCAGCTTCTGGGCTAAACGTCGTCCTGTGGTAGAAAGGCAGGGGCTGGTAGTTGGTAAAGCCGCAGTACTTGGATGTTTTAATATATATATTATATAATATAATGTTTTTAAAGTCGGTTAGTGGAATAGCAGTGTGTGGAAAAACAGCTTCAGAAAAAACTTCATCCAACAACAAGTAAGAAAGCATGTGACGCCCACAGAAACTTTAGCTGGCTTGGATCTCACGAGGTTTTGGCTCGTTCATCTTTGAGTTCTGATTTTAGTCTCAGAGCTCGGCTCTCCAGCAGCTTTAGGGAAGGTGGCCAAACTCACCATAGATCCTAACTTCCTGTTTCACACCTTGGATCAAAACGTTGTCTATTTACCTTTAATCATTATTTACACTTTGCTAATCACTGCAGAATTCCTAAATTGACAAACTTCCACTAGTATTCACACATTTATGCCAGAGTTTTTTTAATTTGTTTAATCCATTTTCATTTAAACCCGTCATCTTTTCATTGCCCCAAGATATTAATGGTCATAAGTGGCCTCTGTCCTGAGAAATCAACTTTTTAAGCTTCTATCCATTTCTTTAAATACTTTGCATTCTTCAAAATAAATCATGAACAAAATAGTATTTGGCTTGATTTTTGCATCTCTGATTAATCCTTGTGAGTTTTGCTGTCCGGGCATCAGCTCCTCCCTCGCCGAACAGTTGGGGAGTTTATTCCTGCAGGAAGCAGATCCCTGAACCTGGCTGTTCCACACCGTAATCAAAGATCAGAGGCGTGATGTGA